GAAGGTGTCAATTTCAGTACCATGTTGTTCCAATTGCTGTATTTCACGTTTGTCAAATCATAGGATGATAAGCAAAGCACGTGATGAAACATTGTTTTCTGGATTTTACAATATGAATGTGGGTGGTGCTTATAATAGTAAGTGCCATTTTATGTAGAGGTTGTATTTAGTATTGGCCAATAGTACTTTTCTATAAGCCTTAGAAAACTTCTGGAAAAAAAGCCATGGGATGTATGCAACTTCTATAATTTTTCTATAGTAGCTTAAGTCATGCTGCATGGTATATCTATTTATATTAATCATTATATTAAAAAATTAACTTAAAGTAGATATATTTTTTAGGAAAGAAGTTGATCCACGATTGTTAGGGTTAAGAGCTATCGACTGGCGAGTGCAAGATCTTTGCATGAATTAGGCTTAGGACTTTGAAATGAAAGAGTTTGTGATTTTTTTATATTCTTTTGCATTTAAATTAGTAGTTTTTAAGTTCAATAATTTAGCATAATTTTATATTTAGTTCATAATAATAATATGATTCAGTATTTAGAATGATAAACTTGTGTGATTTGTACTTAATACTATTAGTACCAGTACCACATAAGAATTTTATATTTTTCCTTCTTATAATCTTTACTTTGTAGTAAGACCCACACTTCTGTTGTTGCTTTAGAATCAAAACAGTCTAACTGGTATATATAAAATTTATTCTGATATTTTGCAAATGGTTTAAAACTCAATGTACAAGTGACAACAATAAAAACCCATATGTTGGTTGTAAAACCGACTAAATACATTCGTCTCAGTAATACAGGGGAAGCTATGACATTCTCACAGTAGGGGTCTCAATACACTTAAGAGCTTAAGTTTTGAATTCCAACATAAATCTTGCCTATAATGAGAGGAATATGACCAGTACTAATCTTTTAAGTGCTGTAAAGTAATTTTCTGTGTAATTTATGGTGTCTGTTTCATTTGGTAATCTATTCTAACAGGATGTAACTAGGGTCAGGTGGTGTTATTCAAACCACCTGCACTGTAAACTGTTATATACATTCATTAGTAGTGGCAATTAGTTTTGTCTGTGTAGTGAAACAAAATACAAGGACATATGTTGAAATAAACTTGTTTGAAAGTTCAAAGAAATGATATTCGAGTACCGAAAAGTATTCTTACTATCATCTACAGTAATGTTGAAATACACCTGTGCTGGACTGAATGAGTGACAACCAACAGGTATGATAGTTTATGGCAAATGTAAAAAGTTCATGCTGCTAACCTCACTATTTATTTGGCACAATAAAC